CCCTTTCCATGTGGCAGCATAAGCATTATTATAATCTAGCATTCTCACCACTATTCAGCTGGCTTAGTACACTGCCACACCACTGCTCCTGTGAGGTTTTGAGAAAGTTTCACAGTGAGAACTGTAAAAGATGTGGGCTAGAGTTTCTTCCTAATTAGTAAGAGATGTTAAAGTGGTTTTAGACAGCACATAAACTATGGCCTTAGAGTGAAGGACCACTATTAATTTCTTTCTCACAGCTCCTTAACTTACTCAAAAAAATTGTACAGACTTAACAATTCCACACTTGGGGTAAGAAAAACTGCTTTAGAGTTCATGTCTACAAAGCATTAATTGAGCTACATTTGAACTGCATGGGATACTTGTAGCCCTCTGTATGCTGTCTGCTTCATGACAGCAGTTCATTTTTTCCCAGTATTATTTAATCTGAGAAAGAAGAGTGGCTGCTGTCAGACTAAAGGATTGAAGCATCACCTTAATTCTTCATGTACAAAATTATTAAATTGCAGACTAGTGATGGTAGTGCTTGTTTAAAGAGTTACGCTGAAGCTCTTCCTTAGCTTGGAACAGGTATAATCAAAGTTATCGTTCACCGATTATTTCTGGAATGCATGGTGCTAAACAAAATGTTGCAGGTGAAAGCTCTGAATTCAGGGAAGTAGCAGGGAAGCCAAATGTGAGCTGGTTGTCCCATTTTTCAGTGTGCCTGATGTACTGAGCAGTAAAGAGTCTGTTCTCTTTTCTCCTCCAAAGGAAGGACACTGCCTACCTCATAGGAGTGACACAAGGGCTGTTTCAAGAGTGTTTTGAAGTTATTTGAGACTTGCACAATATGCTTCCATGGAGATAGTAAGACATAGCACTAGTGTAGCTTGCTGGCAATTGCATACATAGATCCATACTGTACCAGTGCAGTCCCCTCACTGAACAGAACTCAGCAGCTTTGCACTTAGACATTTCTAAAATTCACAGAGGAATCGCAATTAACTTACAGAGGAGAGCAAAGCCAGAAAGATCTCCTGTTTTCTGCAAAGGCTTATGGGCGGGCTAAGTAACATTCTTCTGGCATTTTTCCATTTATCTTTTCAATTTTCCCAGTGACTTTTTTTAATCAATTGATACAGATGATTGTTTGTGTAGCTACAATCAACAGTCAGTTTAAGAATGACTGATTGTTTTGGATGATTAAGTTCAGATGTACTGCAACTGAAGTGTTAAATTAACATTTAGGTTTTTACCTGCTGACTTCCATTTATAGGTGAGATCAGATCTCTTTAAAACAGCTGCAGGTTTTTGTAAATTACACTTGATTTTTTTTTCTTAGCATTGTGTAGCTTTTTTTCTTTTTTTAATAAAGCATGAGTATGGCACCAAAAAAAGGCCTTTTCCTTGGTAAGCAACCTGTATTTGCAAATATGCAAAGCGTGGAAAAAATACTATTCTTAAAAAGCTGCTTTCTACAAGTGTAGTTGGGATGGAAATAATATTGAGCAAATAGTCTGTTTTGGACAGTGGACTCATAATTAAGATTAGAATTCTTTATAAGAATGAGGGAGGGCTCTGGGAAAATGTTCAGTAAGTTCTTGAATCCTCATCTGTTAAAACTGAGCCATAGTCCCCTACATTTCTAGAAGGAATAACCTCCTGTTAAACCAAGGTAGCGGAAAAAGGATTTGTTAAGATGCTTAAAGGTGCTTAAAGCACAAGGTTTTAATAAGGCCAAATCCTTATGGCTTTTCCATGAATACTGTTATCTGACCAAACAAACATGATGTTCCAGGCAGTAATTCTGACAGTAGCAGTTCCAGCAGGTGTATTGTATCCAAACAGAACAAGGTAAGACTTGCTGGGGAAAAAAGCTGACAAAAACGGCTTAAAAATAAAGGATGCTGGGACTCCTCCTGTATTTGTGAACTGTATCTGTGGGTAAATAAGGAAAAAATTAAAAGCAGATGTGTTGGTGTATTTTTAGGTCCGAGAAGACATAAAAATAACTCTGAAATTTGAAGCCTGCCTCATCTTTCCCTGAAAAAATCAAGATAGGTTTTTAAGATCTCATCTTGGTATCTCTTCTTTCTAAACCAGTTATTGCAGTCTATCTATCTGCCTGTCTTTTCTGTCCCCTCACATTAGTAGTCTTGGCTATAAATTTATATTAGCCAAGATGCAGTAATATTTCAGCTTTACAACATCGCAGTCCTGTAACTGATGAGGAAAAGCTGAAACTTAATTTGCCTTTCCTCCTCCCTCTCTGTCTGTTCAGCTGACATAGAAACCACAACTTGTCCTACCTTAACTGAGTTTTCCCTCTGCCACTTAAATTCACAAAATGAAACCGCCACTTAAGAGCTGGCTCTTTCACACAGCAAAGAGAATGCTTGGAGGTGATGTACTTATTCTGACAATTGTGTGACTAAGGGAGATTTTCAAGATGATCTCAGTGTATATTCTAGTAAAGAAGGTTCGGTCCTTCCCTGCAGGGCCTGGATGGAGCTACACAGTGTAATTTTCATAGACGTGAAGCTGCTTGATGAAGCATGTGGGATTAAAGCCTTTACCTTGGAAATAAAATACAGTACTGGGTTCACTAGATGGAAATTATTACAGCCAGCAATACCCAAATCTGCCAGCTGAGGGATCTCCCAAGCCTGTGACAACTGCTCCTCATAACAGACAAGTACAAGAGAGCTTTAGCCCCTTCTCAAAGAGCAGCATCTACATGGGTGGGTTAGAGCAACTGTGTCTAGCCTTTCTTAATCATTCCTTGCTGTATCTTGGTCACTAGAGTAAATCTGAGCAATATATTTTTCTGTGCTTTTCAGAAAATAATTGTCAGATGTGAAGCTTGAAGTCAGAAAAGCTGTAAGTGGTTGTGTCTTGCATTTGCTTCCAGAAAACATCAGGACTGTAGCCACCTGCAGTGTGAGTGCAAGGTGTTGCAGAGGCAAGGTTTATAGGGATGCGGCATACACACTGCCTCTGCCACCTGCTGTCTTGGTGCTGGTTCCACAGTCAGGTTTCCCGTGGTTAGAGTTGGATTAAATTGGACCTTTTAACCCCATA